TACCACTTGGTATTGGCTACAAAGCCATTGACACGAGCTATGGAAATAGAATCTAGCTCTCTTAATGAATAGAAAAAGTGCGACCCTAAGTAGGATAGTCTATGTCTTGCGAAGGCAGGACACTGTAGCAGAAGGTGTGTTGGTGATTCCTCCTCATCATCCTCAATGGAATGCCTACAATGTTGTTGTTTATAAATATTCAATAACTTTTATTGAAATATCCTGATTAATTATGATTTTTTCTGATATATTCTTTAATGTGCAACCATATAAGATATGGTCGATTGTTTTTGTTTTGGTCTTCATGAATGTTGCAAATTGTCATCCACACTTTTCAAAATGTGTTTCTTATATTAGTCCCTAAATATTACAAGGGCTTGTACTGCAATCTTAAATGACTCAATATTCTCAAAAAAAAATGTTTGACTATCAACGGATGTAATCGCTTTTGAATTGTCTAAGGAATTGCCCATATTATAATTTAATAGATCCGTTTTTTTTTTCACATTATGTTTGTAATCTATGTTATGGAAACGGGCTTAAGGATTCAGTCATCCGTAGTTATCATCTGCTTTTTTATTGTATTTATCAATTCGAGACTGTTTGAATTTGTCAGAGAATTAATTCCTAGTTTGCGTATCAAATAGTCTTCGTTCTCCTTCTTTGGCGAGGTATCGCTATTTATTTGATGTAAGATTTTAAAGATATAACTATCTATATGATTATATGGATCAGTTTCCAAAACTAATAGGTCAAAACTAAAATATGGTAGGTATTTACTGCCGTTATAATATTTTTTCACTTCAATTGAATCTTTACAATTTTGTACGCTCTGGATTTGAATTTTAGACTTCTGTAAAAAGTACTATCTAAATCCCGATTGTATTTTTTATAATTTATTCTGTAAATAAATAAAATAAAATTTAGAAAAAAAATAGTAAAACACACAATTAAATCTTAAAATATGCATCATCAAGAAAATTAATTTTCTAATACTAAATATTTAAATACCAAATAATACCATTTTTTACTGTTGTTAATATTTATTTTTACAAATTGTTAAACAAAAATGTTTTTTCAATTCAATTTTCTTTAAATTACTTTACATACAACAAATTTATAAACAAATGTCAACACATTAATTGAAGTATTTGGAAAATAAATTACTGAATAAATATTGATTTTAAACGGAAGTATTTGCTGCGCCGCAGTTTAAGAAAATATTCGCAATGGAATATAAAGCAAAAAATAACTCAATAAATTAATAGAATTTAATTAAAACAATAGCCACTAAATAACAATAAATTGCAATAAAACAGAATTGTTTTATGATAAAATAAATATTTAGAAAATACGCAAAGTCTATTAACATTTAAGAATAATATGTGTTCCTACATTAAAATAAACTATTCTATATAAATATAATCATTATTAACCTAATTAATTACTTAGAGTAGTGAATATAAAAATATTTATGACTTAGTATATAGTAGCGTTAAATGAGCAATTACTACTAAATAAAGAAATTACCTCGACAGTGGCTCTATCCATCTCCCCATCGATATGGCATACAAAATAGAAACAAAGATGAATGTCAAAAATGCATCACGCACTAGAAGGCGGATTGTCCAAAAAGTCCATAAAATCATGGAATCATTTGTCGAGTCCGACAACCGTTTAGAACCATTAGAGTAAAACTGGATACAAAAAGAAGCTCGGTGTGTGGGTGTCACACGAGTTAACGCAAAACAACCTTATGGATCGAATTTTCATCTTCGAATCGCTATTGAATCGCAATAAAATCGATCCATTTCTGAAGCGATTGGTGACTGGTGATGCAAAGTGGATCATGATTACTTACCACAATGTCAAGCGAAAACGGTCGTGGTCGACACGTGGTAAGCCGGCTGACACGTGACCAAGCCAGGATTGATGAGCAGAAAAGTTTTATCTACTATGAGCTGCTCCTCTACGGCAAAACTATAAACTCAGAATTGTACTGTAAACAATTGGACCTGAATTGGACTGAAGATAACAATCGTTCAGAAACGACCAGTTTTGGACAATAGAAGAGGAATTGTCTTCCATCAGAATCCAGACCATACATATCAATAATGACTCCGGGAGCAGCCAAAAGCTGTGGGAGCTTGGTTGGAAAGTTTTTATGACCCAACTGATTACTATCTGTTCTTGTTCATAGCAAACGAATTTTTAATAAAAACGAGGACTTCCATGAGAGAAACATAATGAAATTATAATGGTATCAGCGTTTAAGCAAATGGTATGTTCTTCATTTGACAACTTACAAATGCAGTTGTAGACTTTGACAACTATATCTTTTTATGGCAAAATAAAATTCAAGAAAATACTACAAATAGATAAGAAATCAAAAAAATGAAAAGTCTAAAACAAATGTTATAAAATTGTTGCCACTATAGTAGAGTTCATAAAATGGACTACGATAAGTTAAATGTTATGCACCCAATAGACATTAAAATCTGACGATGACGTAGAACTATTGTTATAGGTTATCAAATATAGAGGAAAAAATTATATTTTGCTTTTTTAAATAACTAATATGAAAAGTAAATTTATAATAAAAAAAAATAATAAATGACTACTTTAATTTTCACAGAATATTTTCTATAACAAAAATAATGAGATTCTTTATTACTATATCAATGCAGTCATTGGAATTAACACTCAACAAAGATAGAGTAACTTATAGAATATTGTAAAATTCTCCAAACATAAAAATAAATTCTTTGAAAAACTTATCAACTCAAGTTCAACACGAAGATCAAATGTCTCAAATGAAACCTTATATTTATAAATCACCGTTGATGCATTCATATTTAAGATAGCGGAAAAAAGATTTATTACTGATCATAACCTCACACATTTCATACTTTTTTATAAATTATTTCATGATACATAAAATACCATGAACTGAACTGCAATAAAAGAAAATAATAAAAATATCAAACAAATGAATGGTAACCTTCCAACTTATCAAACCAAAGACGAAACAAAAGGGAGATAAGAAAAGGGAGTTGTATAGGGCTTGTTGCAATAGTAAATCGAAAACACAGAAGGAATTAAATAATAATCTTGAAGATTCTATCTTTTATATTATGTTTTAATAACAGTAAAACAATAAAACGATATTCGTTGCAACCTTTCCCTTTACGCTATATATCGATATATAATTCACATTTCATACAGTGAATATGCCATCCCTGTATGAAATATCTTACCATATTTGCACAATATATATTAGAAGATTTTGATTACTCGGACAAAGCATTTTGTTTTTTATGCAGCTTACTTCTCGAAATAACCAGTCAACTAATATACTGACTGATTGCACATGGTGGTACAAACATCGATAATTCTGAACGCTCTAGTCGACAAAATTCGGACCAAAAATATAAAAATATGCACAAATTAGTTCTGAAATTATCTTAAGTCAAATTGCGGGAGATGAGTGACATAAATTTTTTAAATTTGAGCATGCATAACATAATTTCCTAGTGGGCGCTTGTATTTCTCTTCAAATCAAATCGATTAAAACGAGGTTAAAATTAAATGAATTGCACTTAGAATTCCTTTTCCACACCACCCTAAACTCTAGTTAGCCATATCGGCATATTTTTTAATCCCTATGTTGCTCTTCAAAATGACTCAGATGGAATAATTCATCAGATTTGCATCTAGCGAATTCAAAAGCCATTATGTGCATGAAATGAATTGTGGAACATGATTTCTTAACCATTCTTGATTAACACGAGCTTTATGAGAACGAGACCGGTACCGAGTCTTATTGGAAGATCTATGGTCTACAACTAAATTTTTTGCGTGCCCTAAAGCAATTTCCAAAACATTTTTCCAATAATAAGTCGCATTGATTTTGTTACCATGCTCTATGAAAACGATTGAAGATCGGCGGTCACAGCTATCCATACCCATTATTTGAGATAGAAAATTAATTTGGGTGGCCATTCGTAGTTCACATTATTCACTTTGAGGTGTTTGAGCTCACGCAATCACATTATTACGTTTGAGTTCCATTTTGAATAACTGAATAACTAAATAACTTTTGTTCTACAAAACTTAGACTTAGATGCGTGTGGTAGCTTATATAGATAGAATATAAACAGCTGTCATTTGTATAAATTTCACGTGGTTGGCAATATCATTTTGACGGGTATGCCTGTATGTAGTTGGTAACACTTCAATCGCGTAATCCTGTATATATATTACTATTTATAATATAAGTATCATATAATGTTAAACAAATTATAAACATTTGTTATTAAAATATATTTATTAACAAAATAAAATAATATATTTTTAGTAGTTAGCTGTTGTCGCCAAAACTTTCCATAGACTTTGGAAATTATACAAATTTCTATTGACCTGACCAAATGTTTGCATGAATAATTTATGATAATAGAAGCTCTCGTGTATAATTACGTATTATCCTTGAAATTACTAGAAGTTTATTTTATCAGTTGCTCTAACATAATATCTATTGTTTTACTTTTGTTTACACCTGGTACGTAAACATTTATTTTTTGACTTTTCTAATGTTTGATTATGCTTAAATTTGTATAAAAGAAAAGTCGGTTTGGGCATTTTTATTAAAGTATATTTATTTATGCTTATCTAAATTTACATGTATGACAACATAATTAAAATAGTTTAACATTTCTAATGAAATATTAATTGAAATAATATAACATATTGTTTAATATAATATATTTAATTAAAAAATAATACGAATTGCAGAATGTTGGTTTCTGTTAATGTACATACCTTAAAATGTTAAATTAACATGCTGGCTGCACATAAAATGTTACTAACAGAGCATTTGCAAAAAAATCATTATCTATTATATTTTAAAACTGTTAAAGTTTTTGATTATTTTATACCGCAAAGATACTTAACGCAAAAGTTCATTTATTGAGATTAGATAACACATACTATTAAGGTTTGTAATGCGTAAAGTAAGGAAACCTTATCTGAATTGCATAGTTTTTATATTTGCCAGGGTCGATGATATAAAATATAACAGATTTGTTTACAAAATTTGTTAAATATTTGTTATTGTTGGTTTTAATTAAATTTATTAAAATTTTACATATTCTTATCTTTAGCATTAAATACATATTTTTATATTTTGTTTACAGGAAAATTTGCGTGTAGCAGAACAAAAAAAACTTGAGATTGATCCAAAATATTTATCCATACTTGGTTTCACATCATTTTTACCGACCAAAAAATCTCAATATGATAAATATGAAATAATTGATAAGAACGCACAAGCAACACAGCAACAAAAACAAGAAACAGAAATTGTAGAAATTCATAATCTAGAACAGCATTCAACACAAAAAGATCTAGATAATAATGCTGAGAATGTTAGTGTAGAACCATCACATCGGCATACTAAAACACATGTTACTACAACACCATTTAATGGCACAAAATCCAATTTTTCAATTGTTACTTATGTGCAGGATGGTCAAGCACCTTCTGCTATATTACTTTCTCAACATGTAGCGGCCAAATTTCCAAATGAGTATCTACTCATTTATGATCTCGGCTTATCCGAGGAAGAATCACGTGCATTGAACACTTACTGCAATAGTTCAAAATGTTCGGTTATTGGTTATGATTTGTCTGTGTTTCCGTCATATGTTTCGGATCAACGGATGCATGCATATCGCCCCATTGTGATAAAAGACGCACTAATGCGTTCGAAGAGCATACTTTTCGCAGAAAATTATATGCGTATACGTGGATCTAGTCGTGAACTTTACGAGTTACATAGTAAGGTAATGGTATCGGGTGTTTTAGGCTGGAATACACCCACAGCTGTGTCAACGCGTACACATCCAAAAATGTTTGATTACTTTCAAACAGATGCTGATGACTTCTATTTCTTGCGTATGGTCGATTTAGATACAATTTTATTTACGGATAGTCTGTTCGTAACAGAAAAAATAATGCTGCCTTGGATAAAATGTGCCTTGACATTAGAATGCCTGGATCCAATAGGTGAGTGCGAACAATATAACAATAATTTTTTTAATTTTTTTTAATCCATAAATATAAATTAAAATTTTCGCATAAATTATATTATATTTGAGTAGACTTTAATAGTAAATCAACAGTAAATTTAGTGTGTACAGTCAATTGTATAAAAAAAATCTTGTATTTTGTAAATTAATATCAATGCGATAACTAACCATTGATGCATTAAGTGCGGTTCGTGCTGTGTTTATCTACGAGATAAAAAAATAAATCTTAATAGCTAACACAACACACAAGTAACCACAAATATGCATGCATAGAATGATAAAACCATTAAATCAAACTAGCTGGGTTTCCTGTTTTTTAGCCCACATCAAATCAAATCCACAACAATAACATTAATTTACATTTGAAATCCGATGCTAATAATACTAATAGAATATGTCATTAGGACGATCAAATGTCACATTATTTGATTGTGAAACTGTGTCAATGAAGACGATTCGGTTGACTCCATATGCTATATACTGTCAGCATTAGTTTGGTAAACAGTAAACCATAATGACTGCGTTCACTCTATAAAGTAAATAACTTTCTGATTGTAGGGTTTTATTCTTAAATCAAATTAGTTCAACTGATGAAACAAAATTTTGTCAATTCAATAGCTCTTAATTTGCAAGATTATTGTGTAGAGATATTTCTATATACACAAGTCAACAAATACAATATATGAATATTTTTGAAAATATTTATTAATATATAAAAATAACTATATAAAAAACAGAAGAAAAACTTTTATATTACACATTTTGCTACTAAATATATATAAATTCTTTCAATGTGCTACTTTCGAAGATAAATAGATACAAAACTTCAGCAGTTAAGTTCAGCATGAAATTAATGTCATTAGGAAAGTTTTTTTAGATAAAATTACTTTGCACACTTATTAAGCCATATTGTCAATGATAATATTGTTGGAATATTGTAGAATACGCCATTTTGCTTTTGCTCATGCATTATATTCTATTATTAATAAAAGTTTTGGACCAGCTACATCCACTACTACCCATAAGCATGAAAACAGTATACCTTTAATAAAATATTTATGCACTACCATGTCAAAGAGAAACCTTCAACAGCAAATATATTATTATATTGTATTAATAAGTGTGTTTGAGAGAAAAAATAGCATAAAGAACGGTCTTACATGATATAAAAAAAAACTTCTATATCAATAAGATAATGCCTCACAAATTAAAGTTATGCGCTTCTATAAAAAGTAAGATATAAAATCCCTAATTTATTTTTACCTGAGAATAATAACACCTCTCTTAGTTTTAGTATGAATGTTAATTATTTGAGTCTTATCTTTAACTACAAACACAGATAAATGACCAATTTGCCTGAAAGACTCCCTAAAGCAATGTATGCAGTTTACTGCAGAAGATGTGTGTTGCCCAGATGGGATCTTTAACCTCAGAATATCTTTTGGGTTTACACAGTCATAAGTGTACCAATCGTTCTTTTCAACGCAGTCTATAAGTAGCAAGCAACTGAAAAAGCTGTCTACCTATAGCTGTTTAACAAAACGATGGCAGCCCTGAAACTTACTACAGCTTTACCTATAGATAGCAACTGAAAAGGCTATCTACCTATAGCTGTTTAACAAAACGATAACGGCCCTGAAACTTACTACAGCTTTACGTTCCACTTTCTACAAAAGCTCATTTTACTTTATTCTATGGTCTCTGTGTAAGTTCTAAGTAGGACGGCAAGCTAATTTATTGACATATGGCACTCTTTTATCTTGAAATGGATTTTACCAGTCCCTATTTTAATTGACTGTATTTGTTTTTACGCTAACCTTTATCCGGATTTTACTCTCTTATACTCAGTTAAGACAACTGGAACTAGTTTTTGCTAACACGGTTAAATTGTACATTTTCGACTCTAAGTTAGATCACGGAATTGGCAGTAAAATATTTTTAAAAAAAATTGAATGTCAGCATTTCGTGAACCACTGGAGTGTGTCTTTTAGGCAGAAGTGAAAGCATTTCATTAATTAGCAAAACGTGTCCTGTCCTAAGCAACACGATTACCGATGTCAACTTCACAATCTTTTTGTCGGTATCAAGATTGCAATCTTCTTGTCTGTGTCAACATCGTCATCTTCTTGCCGATGTCAACATCGTCATTTTCTTCCGATGTCAACATCGAAATCTTTTTGCCGATATCAACATCGGAATCTTCTTGCCGATGACAACATAGTCATCTTCTTTAGGGATTTGTAAGCGAAATTCTTCGACAAAATATATTTTCTATTACATCCTCGTACCCATTGGTACAAGCTATAAGCACTAAAAAAATTTCGACTAAAAAACTTTCTTGTAAATCCTTCCCTTTTTTTTGACAAATTTCTTTGTAAACCTGGTTCAAGCATAATGGATCTCTCTCAACAAATTGACTATGCAAGTTAGTCTTCAACTCATATGGGTACTTTGACGGAAGTACATATTGAATAATTTTAGGATAAACGATCAACATGATGCTCTCAGAAATTTATTTCTTGGATAACAATCAAAAGATATTGAAAGCAAAATTTATTAAATCAGCAAGCAATTGTCTAAGACATGATTTTACTATTGCTTTTAAGACCTAATGTTAAGAATAATTCACCTTCTGCTCAAAAAGTATCCGGATTTGGTAACTACTCCTTAAGTAATAGACCTTTTTTAAAATTTTTTTTTGTTATGTTGGTACACCCTTCCTTGACATATGGTACAAATTTGAGCGCCATCTGTCAATTAGTTTGTTTACAGCAGCTGTTAATGCGAGACTACCTCAAGTGCATTTAGCAATTTTTACTATGGAAAATTCTTGTTGTACGCGATTTTTTGACCAAACACGGCACCGCTGTCATCGCTCAGGCACCATATTCGCCAGATCTGTATCTGTGCGACTTTTTCCTGTTTCCGAAATTCAAATTGTCCCTTCGTGGTAAGCGTTTTGAGTCGATTGAATCGGTAAAAGAGAATTCGACGAAGGAACTAAAAGCCATACCTTAACGGACCTACGAAAAGTGTATGGAAGATTGGGTTAAGCGTTGGCATATGTGTATCGCATCAGAAGAAGCATATTTTGAAGGAGATAAAATTAATTTGGAATAAAATTTAAATTTGTGTGTTTTATTTACAAAATCCGAATACTTTTTGAGCAGAAGGTAGTCGGTATTTCTTTTTATGTCAGCTAACTTTATGAGTCGGTATCTACCTAATCGCTTAAAATGTATCTATTGAAGAATGTGGAATTAATATGTACACATTGAAATTAGTTAAAATTATTACTAGCTATAGTTTGGTACATACAAATATTTACTATCTATGATAAATAAGAAAATATTTGTTTGAAAAAATAATCTGATATTAAAAGTTAAAGTTTTAACAGAGCCACAAATAATATGCACTTTGTAATTATCAGATATTATTATATAAAAATGCTAAGCAAAGTAAAAGAATATAAGTCCACTTCAAAAGAATATTTGTTTATCCATATCTCTTACTTTAACTATTAGCAATATTTAGCGATATTCTGAATCAATTAATTCTGCTATAGCAAAATATTTAATCTCGCTCGCATTATTACTATAAAATCGTCCGCTACAGTATCTTACGTATTATCTTATATGTACCATATATCATTCAAAATTTATTTATTTTGTTTAGAGCCACTTTTTAATTGATTTTTATACTTTGGGATCTTTGGAATTATGATCCAAATTCCAATTTTTGTTATTGTGTTAACGTATACTTTCGATCCATATATTTATGAATCAGCAGAATATTCAATGTCACTGGCGAATATCTTCTCAAGTGCAGTCGAGTTAATCACAATTGTAGGGAAAATATCGAAGTGGCTGCTGCTTTGTGATTGTTATTTTGTAGTGTTTATTATTATTTTATTTTTTTCTAGATTTTGCATTAATAGATACTTGCAAAAATACTCATATATAAAACGTTTCGTTTCTTATAATTAATAATAGTATAATGTGTTATGACTCAAAATGTTTTAATTTTTCTGAAATTATGATAGATACAAGTTAACACCCTGTATTACTATAACGGCACTTTGCCGTTACACATAATTTTTGTATCTCAAGTATGCGCATCCAAGAATTGCGCATTAAGATATTTCATAACGCCTACGCGCGTTTGTATATTTAATTTCAGTCAGGCTTACTGCCTGCACTTCTTATGGCAACAATGTTGCAAAAGAAAACAAAATTGTTTTCCTTTAAGACGCAACTATGTTGTGCAAAACAGATCAAGTATCATTTGAAATACTTGATCGATGAATTGTTCAATCATTATTGGACAAAGATATCGTCATCTGGCTACTGACGCCAAAGCTAAAGACGCTGACGAGGTGCTTTAGCAAATAGAAGCTCCAATCCTATTGGATGGAGAAAAGACGCTTCTAGAAAATTCTTAGGAATTTTAGAAGCTTGAATTCAATTGGATAAAATCCAATTTCTGATTTTCAATAACGACTTCAGGCATCAAAGGAAAAACTTTGAATTGTCAGTCGTTATAAAGAAATGAAACAAAACGGTTAAGCCTTAGCAAAGGTTAAACTAAAATAGTCGTTATCCAAAGTCTTTGGTCGGTCTTGCTGTCTTGAAACAAAAAGTTAATTATATTTTAATAACAACCGATATTCAACAAATATAATAGTTAAACTATGTCACAAAAATTGTAATTAAATAAATTAATTAAATATAATAAATAAAGTATATTTTTTAAAAAACTAAACAAAGAACCCGAACATTAATTGGCGCCCAACGTGGGGCTCGCGATTATAAAAAAATCTCTAATAATAAAATACGAGATTTCGCGAGTTTTAAAAACACACAGTGAACTCACGCAAATGTGAAAAAACGAGTGGCTCGCTTTAATAAAAATATCCCTAATATTAGAAAACGAGATTTTGCGAGCAAAAATTTTTAATGTGTAAATTTTTTTTAAAAA